AGACAGAGTAGTAACCAGAGATAGTGTTGAGTAATTTTCTGGTTTCCAAACCAATATTAATATTATTTTTTTATTATTCATTTCATTCTCAACACATATCTATAGACAAGTTTCTTAGTTGCAAATTTCTTCAAATTAGAAATTAATGAGTAACTTTGGGAACTGGGTCTCCAAGGTCAAAAAATTCCTTCTGGTCCCAAGAGAGATGACGATTGATAATGCTCAGTTCTCAAGGTGCATCAGCTATCTCTAACTTCTGGTGTGGCTCATCAATGTAAGCAAAAGCCCTAGATCTATAGTCTGTTCCATCTTCTCACCAAGTGCATCAGATAATATAAACATTTCAATATCTTATGGAGTGGAGATTAAGGCCACCAATAGGTAAGTTGGAAGGTGGTATTAAATCAATTAATGAATTTGGAATTCAAAGTATACTAGAAACTCTTTGTCATCAAGTCAATTTCAAGTCACAGTAACTTTGTAGGACAGAATAGAACTGCCCTATAGGGTTTCTAAGGTTGTAAATCTCTACAGAAGCAGATTGCCACATCTTCTTCCTAGAGAAGAGGTGGTGAGTTTGAATCACTGAACTTTTTTCCATTAAAAAAAAAAGAATATGTAAACTTTTAATTAGCGATTAAATGCCTTAAGCACTTAGACTGTGTAAATTATGCACTTTAAGATTTATTTCATTTTCAAAGTCCATTTTTATCTCTCTCCTTCCAGAACAGTATGTGAACCATTTCAGCTGAAAGAAAATCTTTTGCTATTAGGTCATTTTTTTCTTTTCTTTTTTTTTTTTTTTTTTTGCAATACTTAGTTGAAAATTAAATATGTAAGCCTGTAGTTTAGTAGAGGGGTTGGGACTGAATGTATAACTTGAGGATTACCTGTTTAAAGCAAAGAATTGCAAGACAGAAAATAGGTTCAAAACTGAGTATTAAAAGAGAAGGAACCAGTCAAGGAGCGTTAGTAGATACTGACATTGAGTTCACTAGAAAGCCAGAAGAATGTGGGAGAGTTCCGGTAGGAAGGCAATAAAAAGGTTTGATATAAGGAAAGAGTTAACTATGTTAAATCTGTTTGAGATATTTAGTAACGAAAGCACTGAGAGCTGAACCTTAAGTTTATAAGAGTCATTTCAGTGAGTTGGTGAGAATAAAAGCTGGAATAAAGTGAGTTTAAGAGAGAATGCAAGGAGTAATGATGTCAGTCTGTAAACTAAGGTGCTCCAGACCCAGGCCACGGTCTTTGTAATCACTTGCTATGTATCAGAGAACTGGACAAGCACTAGGGATGATAGAAGGAAAATTGATGCCTTTGAGCTGTGGTGTTGGAGAAGAGATTAGAATATACAATGGACTGCTAAGAGAATGAACACATTCATCTGGTGAGGGTTAAACAAGGCTGCTCCTTGGAGGCAAAGATTCTAAAGCTTCATCTGACATATTTTGGGCATGTTGCAAGGAGAGAGACATCATGCTTTGTATGGTGGAGGGACAATGCAAGAGAAAAAGATCCTCAATGAGATGGATTGATTCAGTGACTGGGGTAATGGGGGTAGGGGTAGGTATGTCAGAGACAATAAGGTTGGTACAGGATAGAGCAGGGTTTAGGGCAGTTGTGCATAGGGTCACTATGAGTTGCAGACAACTTGACGGCACATGACAACAACAACAACGTAAAACCAATTAGCTTTTTGAAGAATTTTACTGTAAATAGCAAAAAAGTAAAGTCGTAGCTCAAGAATGTAATGAAAACACTAGAATATATGAGGTACATTTGAGAGAAAATTTTTAAGGATTAACAGAAGGAACCTCACAACTCCAACTTGCTGAAGTATTGCTTGTTTAACTTTATTAATGTCCCGTTCCTGCACAGAATTACAACTTGAACTTCATATTTGCCAGATGAATAATCTGAAGATGGATGTAGTAGCAGTGACTGCCCTCAAGTCAAAATCAAGAAGATTCAACCTGGACAACATGCAAAAATATAAAGAATGTAGCCCTGTTTTACTGAAGGAAGTATTATCTTGAAAGGAAGAATGCAAAAAGAATGGCTGATATGATTCTCCACATTTTTACTATCACCAACAGCATCACCTTGGAGCCTGTTAAAAATTAAGATTGTCGTATCCTACTCCAGAACTACTAAATCAAAATCTTCAGGGTGCTGCTCAGAAATCTGTGATTTTTATATCTCTGTGTGATTCTGACACACACTGAGGTTTGAGGATCACTCTTCTCTAGTATTCAAACACAATCCACACAAAAATTAGAGTGGTTATTTCTATTAATCTTGAATCACTAATCCATTGGAATATTTAAAGATTAATAAAATCAGGGACGAAATGAATATGGAAGTGGGCAAAGAAATATGTCCGTCACATGACCTGTTCCAGAACTTTAATTATACACTCTGAAGGTGGCTCTGAGCTTGAAAGAATAAGCAGGAGCTAACTGAAAGAGAAGGGAAGGAAAGAACATGCCACACATGAGGGAATGAAATGTAGTCATGTGGTTGAGAGTAAGGAATGAGTGGACAGTAGTGTAAGGTGAGGCTGGTGAGGTTTTTTGAAGTAAAAACACATTGAGTTTTATAAGGAATGTTAGGAATTGTTCATCCTCTAGCATAATGGTTCCACTGTTATCAGAGATTTTATCTTTTTTTGTAAACAAAGAATGGTGTTATTTTTACACAATGTAGTGTAATAATCAGATTTTCTTTTTTTAAAAAAAAAAACCCACATTATCTTGGAAAGCATATTGAATGAAGCACAAGTGGACAGTCTAAACAAGTTAGGAGGTAAGTAATACTGCAATTAATCAACAATGTGGTTTGTTAAGTGCCAGTGAGTTGACTACAACTCCTAGCAACCCTATGAACAATGAATCTGAACCTTGCCATATCATGTGCCGTCCTTATTATCATTGGTAAATATGATACTATTGATATAGTCACTATTTCAATCCTCTTGTTAAGGGACTTCTTCTCTTTCTCTGATCGTTCAGCTTTCACAGCATGATGTCTTTTTTCCAAGGACTGGCCCCTCCTAATAATATGCCCAAAATACATGAGATAAAGTTTTACCATCCTTGCCTCTAAGGAGCACCCTGGGTGCACTTCCTCCAAAATATATTTGTTTTTAACAGTCCACAGCACATTCAGTAGTCTTCTTCAATACCAAAATAAAATAAGACAAAATGGATAAAAGATATTTATTATTCTTTTTTTTTTTTGGTGCTTCAGATGTAGAATTTATTCCACATACATGCTTCCTCTTCCCTTTACCTAGTTTGGGGAGGAAGGGAGTTCTGTAAAGTATAACCGATGCTTTTCCAGTAATATCTTGTTTTGGGTTTCACAAAAATGAACAAGAAACAGCAGATATATTCTACTAAATGTTAGAACATTTCCTTATTGCTTCTAGACTACTTTTTTACTCAGTTTAACTTTCACTTTAATAAAAAAGTGTCCATTGATGACTAGTAGGATTATCTCCATATATGTAGGCCTTCTTACACACATGTGATTGAGCTTACTCTAGTGAAAAGTAAAAGAATATGTATGCAAGAAAGAAAACAAAACTGCCTCGGCGGCCCTGTCATGGATCGGACTGATTCTTTCACATCAGGAAGTTGGTTTTTCTGGTCATTTCCACGTTGTAGACCCTTCAGCAGTCTCATAGCTTTCCCGCTTTAACTTGAGGGATGGTTTCTCATAGTACCGCCTTTGCTTAATGTCTTCAATGAGACCATTCATAGTGAGGGTTCTGTTTAGACTCCTATGTGCACCTTCCACATCGTTATCCTGCACCATCACAGTCCTGGCAATGAACTTCAGATGTTTTGCCATGATCTTGGATTTAAATATCTTCACTCTAGAAGTCAGCCGAGAATACCTTTCTTGCATTTATTTTTCTTATGTCATCCTTACTCATTGTTCAACTTTCAGATGCACAGTAAGTAATTAAAAAGACTACGGCTCGGATCAGTAATTATATAAATGGATAGACTTTTTTTTTAGTTTCTACAATATCTAAAGGCCAGTATGCAGCCTATGTTGTCAAAGAACTCATAGTCTAGTAGTGAGAAATTGTGTACCATTGAATCAGAACCTGGAGGACATTATGCTGAGTGAAATATCTCAGTCACAAAAGGATAAATACTGCATAGTGCCACTGTTGTAAAATGGGACTGACATAAGGGTTGGGGGGAGACTGAGAAAGATGGGATAAATTATGTATACTGCATTGAAACAGATGAGAGAACAAGAACTGTTTAAAAGGGATATATAATTAGGTATTATTGTCATGGCAGGAGTCCAGAACAAAGGCTGCATAGTGGAGTGGACTTGGGGGAAGGGATTGCATAACAATGAAAGAATTTTTCTTTTACTTTTCAAAGAGAAGAACGAACTGGAGGGGAGGGGTGGACAGGGAGAAAAGTGCAACAATGAATGAATGGAAATCCAAAATTTCCGTAAATTTTCTTTAAAATTAATAATAATAATAAAGTTGTTTTTAAAAAAAGAACCGACTCATAGCTGACCCTCCAGCAGATTTTCAGAGGCAGTAAATTACACAGGAAGAGATTGTCTATCTTTCTCCCACAGTGCCACTTGTGAATTTTAACTGAATGCCTTTGGGCTGTTTCCACTAGGCCATCAATGCTCCCTAGTGGTAAGAAGAGCTACACAAATATTTACACCATCTTTTATTAAAAGCTTAATTTTGAAAGCTCTTGCATATTTAGAAAACTCCAGAAAACCTCTGCTGATGCTCTCATTCTTTTTTCCTTTGTGTGGCCTCACTTCGGCCATTCTTTATGAAGTTCAACTCTTGTTCCTTCCATTGATGTTTCAGTGTCTTTCTCCATTTCTGAGTGGTATGTGGGGAAACCCATTTCCAAAAGATATTATCCAGAATGTAACTCATCCCAGTACCTAATATTGAGTGAATCGTCTTCATACTTTCTTGCAGCACACCAAAACCCAGAATGAACTGCAGCAAGACTCCTGACTTTGTACTCTTGGGGTTGTCCAGTGACCCAAAGCAACGGCAGTTCTTCTTCAGTCTCTTCCTGGCTGTCTACTTGCTGGGCTTCCTAGGCAACTTGCTACTTCTACTAGCTATTGGTACTGACATCCACCTTCACACTCCCATGTACTTCTTCCTTGGCCAGCTGTCTCTTGTGGATCTCTTCTTCACTTCTACCACAACTCCCAAAATGCTGGAAACTCTATGGACCAGCAACGGATTCATCTCTTTCTCTGGATGTTTGGCCCAATTATATTTCTTTGCTGTTTTTGCTGATTTGGACAATTTGCTTTTAACTGTCATGGCTATTGACCGCTACACTGCTATCTGCCATCCTCTTCGTTACCCACTCCTAATGACTCCTTGTAGATGTGGCCTTCTGGTGGCTGTATCGTGGGGAGTGGCATATTCTGTCTCTCTAATTCATACATTATTATTATCCCAGCTATCGTTCTATACTAATCAAGAGATTCCCCATTTTTTCTGTGATCTGGGCCCACTCTTATGGCTTTCTTGCTCTGATACCCAGCTCAATGAGGATCTAGTGATGGTTATGACTGGGTTATTAGGAATCAGTCCTCTCCTCTGCATAGTATGTTCTTATGCCTGTATATTCCATGCTGTAGCTAGGGTACCATCAGTGCAAGGGAAAAAGAAAGCTCTGGCCACATGCAGCTCCCATCTCTCCATGGTCATCCTCTTCTACAGCACAGTCTTTGCTGCATACCTGAAGCCTCCTTCAACCTCTCATTCTCCTGGAGAAATGACTGCTGCTGTTATGTATACTCTGGTAACTCCCACTCTAAACCCTTTCATTTATAGTCTTAGAAATAAAGATGTGAAGGCTTCCCTAAAAAGGATGTTGGGCATGGAGTGTTCTCAGGATTAAGGATAATCACTATAACCAAGCACTATGGTAAAATTCACTCTCCCCCTTCATTACCACATTTGCAAAGGGAGTCAACATATGGCTGTTACAGAGCATTGTATGATCTGTTAGAAAGAATAGTGAAGTAAAAATTGAAATCAAGAGAATGAGATTCTAGATTCCATTCTGTTATTTCTGTTTGGTGTCATCAAAGCTTGCTCTAACTCAGAGTCGCTTTATGTATAATAGAGAAAATGTTGCTTGGTTCTGCTCCATCCTTCATAATCTTTGTTGTGTTTGATCTCATTGTGTCAACCCATCTCATTGGGAGTCTATCTTTTTCACTGCTCTCTATTTCCCTCAGCATGATGTTTTTCCCTGAGACTAGTCCTTTTCTTGATGAAGTTTTTAATTTATATACACAAAAGAATAGATAGTATTGGTAGTTATTGAATTTCCTTCTAATACTAAAATAATTAAAATGTGTTTATTCATTGCCATTCATTCAGTCACTCATTTATTACTGTTAAATCAGTTCCCACTTACAGTGATTCTCTATTGAGTTTACAAAACTGTGAACGGCAATTCAAAGAGACTCTCCATCTTTCTCCTGCCACTGGTAGATTTGAACCTGGAGACTACAGTCACTGGGTTTCAAAGCAAAACTCACTTCAGAGTACCATCATATTTTTAACATCTAGTTATTTCAACCAGTAACATAATAATCAAATTACTACTAACACCTTTACTGTAGTCCATATCATCTTTGTTATCCTCCCAGAAATATCATGTAAATTGTCATCTTCAATATTATCACCATCAATACTACCAATGCCATCACCATTAGTAAAAGAAACTTGTTCTATGCACTTTCCCCCCTTTTTTCTCCCCCACTTTCCATATTTATATTCTAAATATTTATGTATTTGTGCTGTGTCTAAGACTCTTTCAGGAGTTTCTGTGAATAATAGCTAATATTTTGAAGAAAGACAAGAGTAGAGGATTTTTAAACACGCTCTGACTTTTAATAAACATATTAAAATATAAAAAAGCATTTTCAAAATGGGTCTTACTAGTGGCTCTTTCTGCAAAACTAAAACAAGTCTATGCATCACTCAATAATGGATTCTTCTTTCAGATACAGACTGTCCAAAGAGTATGCCAAAGAATTATTTCTTTCATTGTTATAAAGATTATGTACTATAATTAGTTGTCACTGTAATCTATCAAATTTGCCCATTTGTATACATCGCACATTGTCCCAAGGCAGAAACTATATACTAGGTTTCTTTCAATGGTTCATGTTGTTGTGTTCATATTACTATAGAATGTATTTCTGTAGTTCATATTACTATAGAGTATATTTCTATGGTTCATACTACTGTGCCTTGTGAATTACAAAGTCTTATTAAACACATAGGAAGGAATTATAATGGTCAATCCTAATCAAGATATATTTTAATACATGGATTAAAGAGAATCTGATTTAGGAAAAATGCAAAATTCTTAAACTAGATTCCCTATTCAGGTATTCTCACCAATGTTCAACTCAGATTTTCTTTTTAAAAGGTTATCTAAGAAGTGAATTTTTTAATGGTCCTTAGTCCCTTTCATCTGCTCATATGTGTAAGTCTTTCAAAAAATTAGCTTTTAAAATAATACTTTGAGTTTCTGGTGAAAGTTAACAAAGATAATGTTGTCATTGTTATTGTTGCTATGTGCCATCAAGTCACTTGCAACTCATAACAACCCTAAGTACAACAGCTCTGAACCCTGCTCTATCTTGAGCCAACCTTATTGTATCTGACACACCTACCCTCATTACTCCAGTCATTGGGTCAATCCATCTCATTGGGGGTCTTCCTTTCTTGCACTGTCCTTCCACCCTCCCAAGCCTGATGACCTTCTCTGAGGACTGGTCCCTCCTTGCAACATGTCCAAAGTATGTCAGACAGAACCTCAGAATCCTTGCCTCCAAGGAGAATTCTGGCTTCACTCTCTCTAGGACAAACCTGTTTGTTCTAGCAGTTCATGGTATATTTAATACTCTTTTCCAGCACCACAGCTCAAAGGCATCAATTCTCCTTTTATAATTGCTAGTATTTCCCAGTTTTCTAACGTATAGCAAGTAATTGCAAAGACTATGGCCTGGATCAGGTACACCTTAGTCTCCAGACTGACATCATTACTTCTCAGTACTCTGGAGAGGTCGCTGACAGCTGACTCTCCCAATGCAATTGCTCTTTTGATTTCCTGGCTGCTGGTACCAAGAGTGTTGACTATGGAGCCAAGCAAACTAAAGCTGTTAATAATCTCTAGCTCTTCACTATCTATCATGATATTGCCAATTGACTGAGTGGTGAGAATCTTTGTTTTCTTGATGATGAACTTCAATTCATATTGAAGGCTGTAGTCCTTGACCTTCTGCAGCAAATGCCTCAGGCCCTCCTCAGTTTTGGCAAACAAGGTTGTGTTATCTGAATAACACAGGTTGTTGATGGGTCTTCCTCCAATCCTGATGGCACATTCCCCCTCATAAAGGCCAACCTCTCAGATTATCTGTTCAGCATATAGATTGAAAAGGTGTGGAGATAGGATGCATCCTTGGCATACACCTTTCTCGATTTTGAACCATGCATTTAACAATCTTCACACAAATTTTTTGGTGATATTAGTTACATTTATCAAAATGTGTCAGCATTCTCTTTAATTGAAGTCCATTCGTTCCCTTCTAGTACTTTGGTTTCCTTGTCCCCTCATCTTCTCATTTGCTTTAGAGTAACTGTTGACTGTTTGGTCTCATACTGATGGTTTATAAGTATGGTTCCAATCTTCTGGGTGATGGCGGTAGTTGTTGTATGTGGTTGAGCCAGAACCTACCCACAGTTGACCCTTCACCGGGTTTTCAGAGGCAGTAAATTGGACGGAAAGAGATGGCTCATCTCTCTTCTGTGGAGTTTCTTGTGGGTTTGAACTGGGTGCCTTTGGGATTGCAGCACAGTTTCTTAACACTAGGCCATCAGAGATAGAAGTTCTGGGTTTTGCCATTGATATGATTCATAGTGACTCAATAAACAACCAATCTGAACACTGTTCTTTTCCATGCTATCCTCACAATCTTTGACAACTTGAGCCCATTGCCACAGTCACTGTTTCAGTCCACCTATTTGAAGGTTTTTCTCTTTCTGGGCAGCATCCTTTGTTTGCTACCCTACTATTTTGTTAAAAGATGATTTCAAGGGAGAGGGACAATTCTGCCTTTAAAATGTATCTCATGGTGATAATTTCACGGTCCTCTCTTTTCTATTGTTTAAGTTTGTCTGGTTTTCTTTTCTTTACTAAGAACTGAATTCTGTCCCATGTTTCTCTCCCATTCTATCCAGGTAGTGTCATCCACTGTAGCTCAGGTCAGAATAGATAGCAGTGATAATCAGATATCATCTAATTCTAGAAGTAAAGTTGTTTCTTAATTCTAATCTAATGCTTTGTCACAGCATATGTATAGAAAATTATTTTCCAAGAATAGTTACTAAATGAATGATTCAAATTGATGTGTCTTCTGGTCTAACAAGCATTCATTTGTTTCTCAAGTTGTGGTGAATACAAATATTTTGTTTCTCTGAATGCCCCTCCTTTCTATCCTAGCCCTATCTAAACTCATGCCATAATGCCAAAAGATTAACTTCTCTTTTATGTATTGTTATTAAGTAGCAGTCAGTGATCAAGTATCTGGCTAATTAAAGGAGTCAAAAGCAGATAAACTGAGACAAATTATTGGGCTAAAGTCACTATAGCAAAGATTACATATAGATAGTGGTCTTCATGAACTTTATGTTCATTCTAAGCGATCCAGAAGAGGGATGTGGCTGAAAATGAGCTAGATCAGGGCACATACACTATGTAGGTTAGAATGAGCAAGCAGCTTAGGTACATGTAAACACAATGCTTAAAGGCTTACAGGATTACAGGACTCAAATTCTATTGTATAATAAACAACAGTTCCTAGGAAAACAAGAAAAATCAAAGCAGAGCAGATGCCAAAAATCTAGTCAATGGTCAATAATGCAATAGTGAGGAAGACAATAATTCAGAGCAACAGCAGCAGATTAGGATGCACTACCAAGCTTATTCTATGTGTCATTACAGGGCATATATTAAGATGTCATAGAGCAGGAAACAAAGTTCAACTTAGTCAACTTGGATATAACAAATGAAATTAAAGGAGAACATTTGAACACAAAAATTATTTTCTCTATTAATGCAGGTTTCTAAAAAGAATAACAAGAATCTTATATCTGAAAGTACAGTCCCATTGATCTAATAAGGAAAAATCAGCATTTGAAGTAGCTGGACGATGTAAGGTAGTGTTTCAGACAGGAGGGAGCTGTGAAAAAAATGCTCTAGTATTACATTTGAGCCCTGGCTGAGTGGGGTTAGGAGCTCTGGCTGATTGATCGTATATATAAGGGAAGAAAAATCTACTTAATATTTAACTGCTTCTAAGGATATAAATGAAAGATAGTAGAGCTGGAAGAGTGCTTAGAAAAGTAGCACCAGGAGAATTTGAAGTTCTGACCTTGTTATGTAGGGAAATCTCATTAATATAGCTGCCATCAGCTAAGACACTGAAAGATAAAATCTTAGGAGTAATGATCTTGGAATAATATCTACTCTAGACCTGAAGTGCTTGCTGAAGAAGGTCAAGAACTGTAGTCTTCAATATGGATTGCATCTCAACATCAAGAAGACAAAGATTTTCACCACTGGGCCAATAGGCAGCACCATGATAGATGGAGAAGAGATTGAAGTTGTTAACAATTACAGATTGTTCGACTCCACAATCAACACTCTTAGCATCAACTGTCAGGAAATCCAAACACAAATTGCATTGGGAAAATCTGCTGTCAGTGATCTCTCCAGATTACTGAAAAGCAGCAATGTCAGTCTAGACATTGTCACACCTAATCCAGGCCATGATCTTTGTAATTACTGGCTATGCATCAGAGAGCTGGACAATGACT